GTGACCGAGGACAAGCTGATGGCATAAGATGTAAGTACAACTCCTCCGGTTTCATATGCAAATAAAATTGATTGCGCTAGCTTACGTGGTTGCAGTGCTACCGGGATTTAAAAATAGTTGTGCAAAACGGAGCGTGCCAGCTCCAACCGGCTTTAAAGGGTTAAGCGTTGTCTGACAGTATGTTTTGCACTAAGTACCGCAGCAGTTTCCTAATGTTGTAAATCTGCTAAACATTTGGCAATAAAACCCTTTCTGATTCTGATTCCGATTCTAAATACATTAGCGGATCCACACTACAGCCTGGAATATCTGCAAGCGACCAGCAGGCAGTTTTAAAGCGATGCTTGACAAGCAATTCATTTCCAGCGTATACACAACTTAAGAGCAGATCAGCACCCAGAAAGGGAAACTTTAACTAGTTGTTTTTGCACTTACCCATGTAAATGGTAGGCAGTCACAGCAGGTGTGCTGTGGCAAATGTTATCATAGTAAAAATGTAGGTGCATGTACGTTTTACTTTCTCTTGGCTTACTATATCCTTCACACTGATAGGCACACCATTTGTTCAGTGCTCTGGTGGGATACGGAGAGATGCTTTTTTCACATCAGCTCTCTGGACTGAGCCAGTAATGAAGCTGCAATGTTGAGTACTAGGAATACAATCTGACAGGAAAACTTAATTCTTAACCTTATTTTGGAGAAAATTTACTAAACTTTAGAAGAGCTTTTTATTGGATTTAATTAGTGCATGCATTTTTAATGTCCCACTAACTAGTGAATTTAAAGTTATGGGTGTCTACTCATTCAAGATTCAAGATAGCTGCCAAATTCCCAGAATCACAAATTGCATCAAATGGAAATTTGGCCCCACCTATCCACAGTTCAAACCAAACCACCTGTTTGCAAGAGGCAGTCAATCAGAAGGTTGGCTTAAAGAAGCAAAACTAATGGCTTGTTTCAAACAACTAAACAAGGGCCAGCTCAAAGGTCTAGTTTAACAACATGGATAATTTTAAACTGTTAAACCAATGCAACGCTACACTAGTAGAGTTGCAAATGAGTATAACAATCTTTCTGTCTTTCTCCTTCCTTTTGTCTCATTTGAACAGCAACACTGTGTGCCGTGGTTGTAGCAGTGAGAGTCTACAGCTGCCAGCTATCATGTGGGTTCTGTGGTCTCACCTGTGGAGAGGTTACTCTGAAGGATGTCCCTGTGGTGGGGGTAGCAGGTCGTGGAGAAATGTTGTTCTGGGCCTGGGCTTGGGCTTGAGCTTGTGCTTGTGCTTGAGCTTGAGCCAAAGCCTGCTGGGGAACCATTACCAGCTGTCCTAACTCTGTGCGTACCAACACCATACCTAAGGAAGAGCAGGAAACATAAATTAGAGAACACCACAACATAAATACCGCAGAAGAACAGCTAAACCAGCCACTAAAAAAAATACTGTATATTTCACATATTATACTGCAGGTATATCACTGCACTACAACCTTATAAAACAATGCAATTTTACAAAAGTAACATTTCATGACAGGATCTAGACTTTGTAGGATGTTACAGTAGTGCACATATTATAATCAAAGTCTGAAGAATTTGCTTTGGGCTCTGATCATGAGTGAATTACACAAACTCTCCCTTCGTTTTAAAGGACCAGGACTGCAGTTATTATAACCCCACATCTGGCCGTGATAAAATGTTTTATTACACATTTGTTTATCTTTATAGAATTTCCATAAAGAGAAAAGGACATGAGGTCAATAGTAAGGTTAACAGCATGTTCTGATCCTGCTCTTGAAAATGTAACTGAGCTATTATTTCTGAGGTCAGATGACTCATTCAAGCAGTGCAGCACAAAAACCATTATGACCACTTTCCTCTGTTATTACCTGCCCTTTTACAAGTACAGAATATGAGCTTCTATTGAGATTACAGTGTTTTAAATATAACAGCTAAATTAGGGATATAAATATGGCTCATCTATTGGGTAAGCTATAATTTGAACTACTGGAATCCTGGACCACTGAATTGTTGTTGTAATAACAAAAGTTAGCTACATAAAAAAAAACAATATCTACTCAAATATTTTTTGACAACATATTGCAGTCTCAAAGCATCAGTGGCTACTGTCTACACACTGGAGCTGCCCAAAGCATTTCTCTGTGCCTCCCAAAGTGTCCTTAGAGGTCTTTTGTGATTCTACTCATCTTCACAGTGTACTATTATTATCCTGTATAAATAAACATTTAAATTGATGATTTTTGCTCTAGGTTTACCACACACACACAAGGTGTTTGTGCTTATTGCATCTATCTGTATAAATACTTTGATTTCTGTCTTTTTCACCCCAGTTTTATCTTTTTTTCCAATTACAAACAAACAAACCAAACAAGAAAATCAGGGTTTTTCCTGTTTACAAAAAAATTTGACTTTGACCTTTGAGTAAATGAAAATCACCAGGACTGTAATGAAAAAAATTTACTAAAACATTTAGTCAAACATAAAACACAGATTTATTTAGCAAATGATCAGAAATAACATGAAAATCCACAAACTTCTGTTATGTAAGGTACAACACTCCTTGCCATACATATATGTAGATTATTCATGCCCAAAGGCCTATTTTGAGCCAGGGAAAATCCGGAGGATGTCACACACAATCTTCTATTATGGGAGAGTCCAACACACACCGAGCCCTTTTAACAACCACAACCAGGATTCTCTGGCTTGGTTGTTAGCCCTCCTGCTAACCTTACCTTGTGGGATGGTAAACCCAGGGGGCAGCTGAATGGTGGTCTGCTGCTGAGGCGGTCTGACAATCAGTTGGGGGGTTACAATCCTTTGTGGGGCTGTAAGTCCAGGACGGGGTTGTGACTGTGCAGATGTGGCCACAGCAGGTGTTGGGGAGGGAGCTGTTGGCCTAACCATAGTAATAGTGGTGGTCACCGATGTGGTCTGACCAGCTCCACATACTGAACTAGTTGCCATCCCTGTAACACACGCAGCAGGTGTGATGGAGTTCAGAGGCTGAGTTATTGTTATTGTTGTTGTTGCTGCAGCTGTAGTAGTTGTTGGTGGTGTGACAATAGATGAAGAAGTAGAAGAAGGAGGAGGAGGAGGAAGAGGAGGAGAGGAAGTGGAAACAGTATTTACTACAGAGTTGACAACGCTAGACTGGGTTAACATTACAATTTTGGACTGACAGTCGTCTGTTTTGGAAGCCCCAGTGTCTGTGACCATTTTGGTTTGGTTCCCCGGGGAAGCTAAAGAGGTAACGGGTCCTATACGAGCACCCTGCTGGACTAAGGCCGAAACACTGGTCCCGTTGCCGTTCTGGGCTATACTGGCAACAATATGACTCGGGAGTCTATGCAAAGCAATAGTAGGAGTCCCCCTGTCGAGAGCAATAGCCGACTGACCCACAGGCAGGCTCGCGTTGGATAAGGTGAACGTCGAAGTGTTAATAGAGGTCGTGACGGGTCGTCCAGAGTTTGGTGTACTTGCACTCGTATCCACTTGGCTAACGCTGTCGACCACCGCTGTGTTGCTGTTCCTCCGCGTTGTTACAGCTGCGCCGTTCAAACTCTTTATCCGCGCCGAAGCGCTCCTCCGCGGCGTCGTTATGCGTTTTCTCGGCGGGGTTGCTCCCGTCGACGTCTCACCTGTGCCCACGGTAACCTTAGAGCCCTGGCTGGATATGGTGGTGCTGATGCTGGCTGGCGGCAGAGATGCCAAAGTTGACACACCAGATGCAGTCAGTGTTGTGATGGATGCTCCATGTGATTGCGAGCCGCTGCTAGTGGCGCTCACACAGGCACCCGAAGTGGTGGAAGGCTCGCCAAAAGAAGGGCTGCAGCCCGGTGAAGGAGATGTGACAGTCTTATCCGGGCTAACGTCTTTAGAGTTGATCTCCTGGCGCATCTCAGTTTTATTACGGCGTCCTTGTTGTTGTTGTTGTTGTTCTAGTGTTGTGGTGCTCACTGGAGCTGGTAGCGTTTTTCCTAAGTGATGGTTAGCGGGGGCCACAGAGCCAGCGCCTCCGTTTTCGTCTGCTTTACCAGCCGGGTTGCTTTGTCCAGCAAGCTGTGACTCCAATGAGCCCACTAGGTCGCTCACAGCTTTTTCATCCACCTCCGAAAAGAGCATATCTTCCAGGGGGTCGGAGGCGCCCGCCATCTCTGATCACAGATAGCCGTCTTCTATTTTTTTTACAATGCGCCTGCGTGTTACTAGGCATTGTGGGAATGGATCTGACGTCATTAAACAAGGGGGGTATAAATGGAGAAAGGGGCGTCCTAGGTGTAGCCGTAAATCTGTGGTTATTGTATCCTATTTATTATGTGTTACCTTCACGGAGTATTAATTAGTAATCATACTAAGTACCGTGCAGTTACACCGCCATCCCAAAGTAGAATATGAGGAGCTTTGACCATATTTAAAGAAAATGATATATAAATGAGAAAAAAGATCAGGAAGAAAGCAAAGATTATTTTAAAACGATATAAGACAGTTATAATGTACATAAAACTACTAAGTTAATGAATAAATAAAACAGATCTGAAACAAAGCAGTTACTCAGAAGTTATATAATTATTAGGTCTGATTTTGGTATTGTTTTTTCCCTTTGTCTGTGCATCTTTTCTTTTACCTTTGCAAAAGGTAAGATGGGAAATATATAATTTATTATCCAAACAGTTAGTAAATTACTTTTTTTACAGCCGTTAAAAATGAAGTTAACACAATCTGTAAAATAATAGCCTAAATCATTAGGATTGTATCTTAAATCAAATAAAAGGAAATTTGGCAATAACTAATATAAAATAAAAAATAAATACAATTTGGTAAAATATGACTAAATAAAAATATGAAGTATTAAATTAAAATGTTTTTAATCCAACATGCAATAATAAGATTAGAATTTCTTAAAATATGATAATAAATATTAATAATAAATATGAGATTTCTTTAAAGTGGCTCAACATAGCAAGGCAGTGCAGGGTTGAAATGAAATGACATTATGAGAAAAGAATAATACACTGATCTATTCTGATGACGAGATTTTGATCAGGAATAATTGGGAATATTTTTGTTATAGTAGTTAAAATAACAAGAACAATAACCATAATAATTAAAAAAAATATGGTAGCTGTATTTGATTGTTGTATATTGAAAGATTGTAATAAGTTGTATATTATATTAAGTACAGTACAGTAATTTTAGTAAAAAGTACAGTAATATTTAAAGTAAAATACCAAAATAATAATATTATTAGCAATAATTATGGAGGTTTTTTTTCTTATAATTTTTTTTGAAATGTTTGTACATTTTGTACAGTTATAGCTACAGTTTATGTTCTGCCAAAACAAGGCAAAACACCCAATAAGTAACGTTAAATAACTTCAGTTTAACTGAAAGCATTATTTTTTAATATAAATCACAACACTGCAACATTACATCACCGCGACATTACTATGAATTTGTTTGGCCAGAGAA